CTCTACTAAAACCAAAACAAAACCACAAAACCCACAACCCCCCTCCCCGCTTTGTACCAAATATGGCGTGAGAATACTGTATTAGTAATACTACAATTATACTATTTGTTTTTCATGCCTTTTGGTGTTTTGCTCTGCGTCAAGATGTTCTAATCTTAAGGTCCTCTGGGTGTGTGAATTTCGTTGCTTCTGCTCAAGTATGCTGCACAGCGTGTCACCCCTGGCTTTCGTGTTGTAGGGGTTACTCGCTTTGCCGCTGCACACAGAAGACCCGAGTTTGATTCGCGTCTGGGGGACGTTGCATTCCTCTCAGCTCGGGGTGTTGTTTTTTTGGGGGGTATTTTTTTTTTTTTGGGGGGGGGGGTATTTTTTGGTATGTGTTTTACGGCACTGGCAACTGTTTAAGGACATGAGCGGACGGGACACATTAAACATTTTGAGTTGGAAGGAAAATTTGAATTTTGCACAGGTGGCGGCCGAGGCGTACTCTTATCGATTTTGGACCACCAAGAGATCTCTAGCGTGCGCAACTTACACATTGGACATCCGAGATTTTTTTGCACTTGTCAGCTCGGTTTGGCCGTGACAGGCAGGGTCAAAATCCGCCTCCTAAATGATCTAAATGGATCGATGCTGGCTTAAAATACACTTAAATTGAACATTGAAGTGTCACTGCATAGTAGTTACTGTACTTTCGTTTTCAGTTCTTCTGTCGTGGTAATGTCTTTGGCAAGGCAAAATTTGATAATCGCTTGGCTTTATGATGTCCTTTTCTTGGTGGATTTTAAAAAAATGATAAAAGCGTAGCAGGCAGTGACTCTAGTAAAACGTCTTTCTTTCCCGAGACAATGATATGAAAAAGATCTGCTTTGCGCAGAATTTCGTTCGTATTTTTCTGTCCAATGATGCTCCAACGGTGTACAACGTAAACACAGCTGTTGAAAGATGCCACGGGAGAATGTGTTCACTTCTTTTCTCTTTTCTTTTACCGCCTATTTTTTTTCCTATTATCCTTATGTATCCTTCTCTGTGTGTGTAACCTTCAATCTTCGGTTTACATGACCTAATTGTGTTGCAAGTGCCGTGAAACTCTTACCCGAACTAAAACCGAACATGTATTAACAGTTTCACGTCTACGTTGGTATGAGTTGTAAACTCTTTCAACTCGCATTCCAATTCTATTGACCCCCCCCCCCCCCCCCCGACCTTGTTGACGGCTTAGAGGGCTAAAGTACGGCGCAAGGCTCAATGCTTTGGCTTTAGTGTTTTAGAGGTGCAACCAGTGTCAGGACGGCAGGGTTTTTTTTGGGGGGGTGGGGGTGGAGTGGATCATCTAGACCAAGACATTAGCTTTATTTTGCCGGCGCAGCCAGATACTGAATGTTTGCGTCGTTATGCTGCAAGGCCGTGTGTAGGCTAGAACGTGTGTGATCTATGAGAGATAAAGCCCACCTTCTTCTCGTGCCTCCAGAGATAGAGAGCCTTCTTGTCTTGCGAAGCACTCCGAGCTAATACTGCGCTCAAGTTCAGACGTTAAGTTTCAGTGGCAATTTGCTGCTATAACTTAACGTTGTTCCTGGGAATACCAGTCTCACTTGCGATGTGTGTATGAACTCACAGCTGTTGTTGGATTACAATTCCGTGTCCTGTTCCTGTAGGTTTTGTCAGGGGAGAGATAATGGTGTACTTGAATTCCGTGGACTCAAAAATTTTCTGGAATCGCTGTTGTTGTGAGAGAAGCCATGATTCAGTCGCAGAAGATGTGTTGTTAATTATATTTTCATGCGTTCTCCCTGCTCTAGAAGTGTCTTTAATTGTGGTTTCTTTCGTCATATATTGCTGCTGCTGGAAGTTTGAAAAAAATTCTGCTAGCCGTTCTAATTTTCCTGTAGGATAGTAGATTACATATATTGTTGTCATTACTCCGGCAGTTTAAAGGCGACCGCTTGGGTCCAAATATATTGATACGTTTATGTATTGTTTAGTCAGGAACGTTGAGGGCGTCGCTCTTCTTATTATAGGCACACAATTCGCCAGCACACTCTTTAGTTGTTATAAGTCCAGTGAGTTGGTTTTTTGGGGGGGTTTTTGGTCGGGATAAAAAAACAAGTTTCCTATTTTCTAAAAGTGCACCTTTGTATCTTTCTTTGCTTTTATAACACACATGCAGAACTTGAATTTCGACAAAATATTTCTTGAGCACACAACTGCTACCATAGATTAAAAAATTGGCATTTTGAAATATTCGAAATGTGTGGCTTAAAATTAATTAATACATTTAAACAGCTGGTCGACGTTGCTGCTCAATACACCGGGTGCGTTTGTTCAACCCAAACTAGCAAATATCTTTTCGTGGTTGTTTATGTATTGCTTTCAGGTATGTGAAAAAATTGGACACGTTGGGAAATGAAAAGGATAGAGTATCAATCCACCAATGATGTGACCCTAATGGGTCCTGCCAATGTCTAAAGAATAGAATTATTCATATAAATTTTTGTTTTCCGTGTGTTATTGTGTCCCCCCTGTGTGCTATTACAACTTCTTTTAATCCCTTTAAAGGAAAATCTCGAACGATTTTTAATCCCACAAAAGCATTTCTCTACACCCCCTCTCCCGCCCTTTCGGAAAAAACAGGTTGTCTATATTTTTCTGTTGAGGACATTTCCTGTATGGTGTGCATTCTTGCTGGTGCCTTTTTCATTCACAATATGTTTTTTGCGTAATTCTCTATGATACATAATAATATGTAGTTATATATAATACGTAATCCTTTCTGAAGTTGACCTCATCACGTCTTAGGCTTAACCGGCTCCACGGTTCAGTGACAGCAAAAGAAATATTTTGACATTCTGGTAAGAACAGATTAGAATTTTGGATCGGGATTTTGAAGCTCAAGAAGGCTAAAAAAAAAAAAGAATACAAAACAAAAAAAAAGAAAGAAAAATAAATCAGAGGAAAAGGATAAAAATCTTGCTCTGACAAGGACGTAGGACCCTAATCATAGTCCACTTCGGAAGCTGCGTTTCTGTTGAACGTTTATTAACCTACTTACACTTACAGTAGCCTTGTCGTGATACGTTACATAAAGCCAGCTGATAAATGACGCGTTTGATAGGCGATGCGACTTCTCCTTCAAAATGACTCACTTTTTTTCCCCACACGTCGAAGTGAAAATCGTAGCTCTGACCTGAGAAGTTAGGTGATAGATCAGATTGGTGCGACACTGGCAGGTGGAAGGTTTTTGCTTTATCTATCTTTGGAAAATAGTTCACGACACTAAAACACCGTCATGATCGAATGCTTATATACATACACTTTCGGCTTAAACAAACCGTTTAACGCTTTTGATATGACAATCCATTATTAATAATAAAAGGGCCGGTCACATATTGAAAAATAAATCTGGTGTTGGTGTTTAAGTTAAAAAGAAAACCCCAAAAGACCCCCCCC